ACCGCCAAATTCGAGGTACAATTCTTAAAGTATAATTGAGGCTTGAGTCACATGCCGATAGAAGATATTTTTGCCGGTATATTAGCACGTGGTACAAGATATACGAGGAAATAATTTAATGAAAATATACGACGATTAGTTGGAGGTACCGTCCGAGGTATCGTCTATAAATTCGCGGTATATTTTTTAGAAGGTACAAGTGGTTCCCGTACGTACCTAGAGACCCTGTAATCAGACGCTGTGGCCACGAGAGTTCGTCAAATTCCAGCGAGCGAGAGAGAAACATAGGCCATCTCGCTCTTCTACGATAGTATGAATATACGATCGCAGAATCGTAGAGGAGCGAGATGGTCTATGGTTTTTTTACATACTTTTTTTTACAGTGAGTGTACAAGCATAGAAATGCGGGTACAAAGAGGAAACGTTATAAGGAAACCGTGAGACTTGAGTGTCGTCAAGGAAGCCTCGGATTATTCCTCCTTGGCAATGAAAGAATGGAACGATGTAACATATATTTGTACTATATATTTGTATATAAGCGAAAAATGCAAGCCAAACGCATCCTTTTGCTATAAGGCTCGTATGGATTTTACGATATCGGATGCGCGACAGCATAATTCTTCGTCGTGGGTTCGTTTAATTTAATTTATACATACAGGATGCGGCAAATCACGAGATCGCAAATCGTAACAGCAAATCAAGTTCCAAAGTTAAGCACCCGGTAATTCGTAATTTGCGCAGACTGTTGATCCAGTCGCGCTGCGTTAATTGCTCGGAAAATTGTCCTGTTTGTGCTGTAAGATATCAGGATTCCCATCCTTAATTAATTCAAACTCGAGTTATGTCGATTTGCGACCTGCTAACGCGCTTAAAACATCCTTTACCGCCTGTGCGTGCATACGTGTCGTGTTTCTCTCTTTTTCAAGTCGAAGGCTCGGTTTCGCATTCAATTAGAAGCGCCTGATTTCACGGGCCGCGGACTCGGGGAGGAAAGAATAGGAGCAAAGCTGGCGGAAACCGTAAATTTTCCAAGTGCTTATAAAGTCTACTTAAAACCCGCCGTATCCGAGTCTAAGGCGAAACTCACGAGGAGTTCTTTCGTCTTCTTTCGCGCGGCTTTTAAGGAACACCCGCAAAGTTTTTAACATAAGAGTACTTTGTTGCGTTGAGTCCCGACGAAGCCTATCTTCTTTAAGTGCAGCGTCCGCGATATAATAAATATTTCCCCGACATCGGAATGATTAATGTACGTTGTAATAATGACATTGTTTTTTTCATCCAAGGAAACAATTATTACATCGCTAAATTATAACAGGTTTCGCGGCGAGTAATAATTTCAAGTTAGATATAATAAATTCGCGTAATGCATTAGTCGATAAAGCACCGCGTAATTTTCTACCGGGTGTTTGCGTACTTTGAATTATACGCAGGTAGCCGAAGAGTAGAAATAAATTCGTGGGCTGGCGCGATGTCATATCCCGCGCGATAGCATAGGTGGTTTAGAGTGACATGTCAAGGAAAAGTTATCAAAACTTCCAAGGGTTCTTGAAACCGGCAATGTTTTGAGGAAAAATATCG